GTTGGGGAAGGGGTGGCTTTGTTGGGGAGGGGGTGGCCTTGTTGGGGAAGGGGTGGCTTTGTTGGGGAAGGGGTGGCTTTGTCAGGGAGGGGACTGCCTTGTTGGGGAAGGAGGACGGGGTTAACAGACTACCTACTTCAAGACTGATGTCCCAGGGTTTATGCTGGCCAGGCTCTGCTTCTAGGGGTTCGAGGAGAGGTTCCCAGGCTGAAGCCTTCTCGTTGTAGCAGGCAATCTCAACGGTCATGTGGGTATCCACATGTAACTGCAGACAGAGGAGTGGAATGGATTCACAAATAGGTTGGAATAACGGGTTTGTACTGTCAAAAAAAAGTCCCTGGGAACTATAATCTTGGACCATGACTGTGAAAAGTATGACTAATCATTCACCAGATTTATCAATCCCTCTGCGTTAGTTTCACATGCTGTCTGAGTTTGCCTATGAACAACTATTCAAGCATATTCAGTCAAGAAGTCCAGTGTGGTTGGCAAATGTCATATGTAATGTCCAGTAAGCCCATAGACCTTTTGCATAATACACTGGAGCATATGTGCAGGAAGGAACAGTGTTACATGTAACTTGATTGTAAATAAGAGTAAGACTTTGAATCTTTTCAACTGAAGACGAAGGTCTACACACAGCTCAAGTTCCTGTCTGGTGTTGAACTTCTGTGAACATGTTCAACTTTCTCAACTCTCCTGTATCCACTTTCTGTGACAATTCAATCTCGGACCCGATTTTGCACAGGAGGCTGAACTCAATGGTGGCCTATAGGGTTGGTTATTATATGAAGCATTTTTTCAGGCAAAGTACAGGAAAAGAAGAAACTCCATGCTAACGAGGCATGAGCCACAGCCAAGGGAGTGTGGCCAGGGTAATCAATTCACCAACCTTGGATGACCAGTCTTTGACCACTGCCTCCATGCTAGCATCCACTGTCAGCATGGGGACAGTGCGCCTGCCAACGCTGGCCTCCAGCTTGATGACGATGCTGTTGATAGTCGCTACCAGCTCTTCTCCCTTGGGCTGCTCCACCGCACCGACCACGGCCTCCTCAAGGAGTGTGTTCACATCCAAAGCCTCTGTTGAGACACCATCCAGTACACAAAGTGGTTCATCACAAATAAACAAGAGACCAAGAGTTATTGGACATTTTTCTGGGAAAGGAAGTCGATTTGCATTTTTTTTTAGGGGGTGATCTGGAAAAAGCATTATTCAGGCACTTGTTATGATTTTTGGAATGGTTCTGTCAATAAAAGAAAAATTATCTCTTTCCACCCTTCAACAGGAGTGATTCTCAATACATTATGACCACAAGCAGTTACCAAGGAGAATCCATTTTGGGGGTGAAACTTGATATCTACATGCTAACTACAGACCCTTTCTTTCAAGGAGTTGACAGAGTATACAATTTCTGGATACGTGTGATGTAAAGTGAAATGTGTGGATGTGAATAATGTTACTAACAGGACTTGCAGTTGCATTTTTAATTACTAAACAGAATCATAAGAAGCAGAGTAATGAAAGGAATTGGACTATTTTCACATCAGCAACGACAGAATCCCTTCAGAAACCTCACTCAGACACCAAATGTATACCGCCACACAGAAAGCATACCAACCAACATCATTCCATGGCAGCAATGCACAGGAACGTTACTGTGCATGGGCACTGAAGACTCCCCAGCAAACATCAATGTTATTCGTTTTCAAAGCTGAGCCTATGGCCAAGCACGTATTCCTAGCATTTCAAACAACTGCAAGAGTTCACAAGCATACAGAGATGAACTGTTCCCACTTTGTGAAGCAGAGAGCAACATGTTAAAGGTTGAAAATCACCTATAGACTAATTCAAGAAGACGCCGTAACTACAGCGGCACTGCACCCACATGCAAAATCTCCCCCTTGACGCATACGTGCATTTGGCAAATCAGGACATCCAGGACATAATGCACGCACACCACCTCTCCACAAGCATTGCATCACTGCAGTTATGGCTTCTAACTCTGGTCGGCAAATTACACTATAAATGCCACATATAAGTCCAGTACAGCAAATACCTTCAGTTTCATCTTTCAAGAACCAGAAGTTACTATCTGCAATCTTTTTGGCATCCCACAGGTCAGCTGGAACGATGGCCTTACTGCGTTTCTCCTCAGCTGTTTCAGTCTGAGTGACAAGGGGAAACAGTGGAGAAAGTGGTAATGATTGATGGCATCACCAACAACGCTTCCCATTCTATCCCGTTTTTGTCTACTTCTTGCAATTTTGATTCTTTGATTTCAAAGTACACAAGCACAAAAACAGAATAGAATTTATGAAATTATCCATTTGAGATAAAATGCAGTCTTTGGATGCAACTCTACTGTGTGCAAAAAGAACGCAAACCTTCGAAATCAGTAAACAAGCAAAGGACTGCTACAAGAAATCTAACACATTTATGTGCACTTTTTCACATTACATTGCTGAAGAGCAACAACAGAATGTGAGAGTTTCTGACAGAATGACATGTAATGAAAGAGAAAATAACCATGTTTGTAAATGACAGATGGTGCTTAATCACTTAGTATTAAGTTCCCTTTAGCCAAGCACATCAAGCACTCACAACCATGTTAGCCCTCCATACCTAGTATGGTCATTCCTTTGTTTTCATGTAGGTCAGAAAACTCGGTGACAATAGTCATTTTTCTTAAATTGTAAGCACTATTTTACGCAGGATTTTTGTTTACATGTTTTTTTTGACTGTTCCTCTTTCTTTTGCAATGGATAACCCTAACCCTAATGTGCCTCTAAACCTCTTTTCCAGGGAAAGGGAAACCTTTGTGTAGAGAAAGGTCCACATACTGTCTTCACTTCCAGTGTTGTGCGGATATGTTTTGGTTCCTAGATCTATACAAGGAATGGCAAGCTTGAACACTGGTATTGTGTGGAGTACCAAAGAACATACTAAACACATAGCAGCAATGCTGGTCAGGTTTCACCACAAGCTTCTTTCTTTGTCAACGTGAAGAGCTACTTTTGCAAGTCACAGTACTTTCTAATGATTTCCCCACTTGGCCATGCCCCTAGACAGAGCCTTACCTTGGGAGGAGCCAACGTCTGACTGACAGAGCTCAAGACTTTGATGACCTCTGGACTGATGTTGAGAGCCAGCTGCTCGATCACTACGCTGATGTGCTGACCTTTGCCCTCTGGGGTGTTCAGGTTGAAGTCAACGTTGCAAGGTATGAGAACCTTAGTCAAAGATCAATGAATCGTTAACAATTCAGTGGTTGGCCATGACTGTCTCTGTCCAATGTTACCAACCACTGCCTTTGAAACCGCCACCTGGGAAAATAAATCGTTTCTCAAAGGGGAAATTTGGTGTGGGCCATATACGCGAACAAATTACAATTTACAACTACAACTGAAAAACACATGATCTTCAGAAATAGGAGAACACGTATCATAAGATCTTTACCAGTACAGAATGTGCCAAAAAGCCAGTGAATAAAATCCGGTACACTGAGTTATTGCACATAAACATAACCATTTGAATTCCCCAGACTAAAGACACTGTTGCTATACCTCATGATTCGGGGCAAGCTTTTGCATAGCAACCATCATCTCTGGCATGGACTGGTTCCTTTGTGTCCTTCTTATCCATTGAGAACAGTGTATTGTTGCAAGGCATCTCTTATGTAACTAAGCAAAAGCTTGTCTTGAATCACGATGTATAGCAACAGTGGTTTTAGTATAAAGAATGCAAATTGTTATGTTCACGTGAATAACTTAGTGTACAAGATTTTATTCAAATTTAACTCACAAAAGACTCATTTCCTGCTTTGGGCTTTGGCTACAGGATGGCCTTGATCATAGAAAGATTCAACCAGCAAAAGGTTGTCAGTAATCAGGGAAAATGTGCAATCACACACATGAAATAACTTTGGCTCAAAATCGAAGAATCCAGCTCTAAATGACAGGCGTAAGGACTTTTAAACTTTTACAAGAATTGAAGGTTGAAATAGAGACTTGCTATTCCTACAAGAACAATTATCAGAGTTCCATTTAACAAGTCTATCTTCAAACCAGAACATCAAGGTCCATTTCATTTGATTTGTTAATTTTGTATAAAAGTTAATTCTCATGATTTTAATGCTGTATGGATCTCTGTGTGCATGTTGTTAAGTGGTTGAATTGTTTACTGTAGGAATGTTCATCCCCTTTGGCCTGTTTATGTTTTTGATTTGCTGCTGTCTCTGTGTGGTTGTTGGTTTGTTCCATCACTCTCTTCACAAGTGTTGTGGTCTTGACGGCACCTAAGCTTTCCCTATTCTTACCTTGGTCATTTTGCCTTTGCGTTGGTCTTCCAGGTAGGGGCATGCGTTGATGCGCAGTTGCTGCAGACCTCCTTTGATGGACATGGTCTTGCCTGCAAGCGTCATGTTGACCTCTCCCAGGGTCTGTGGAATGCAGACACAAGTTACGCCTCGATGTTAACTCTGACAAAAAGAGTTCACTTACAAAATCGGCATAAGAGGACTCACTACCATCACAGGTAAGGTTTCCAGTTTACATTGAAACTTTAATCAAATCAGACTTACACCATAGATAAGAAAAGTGCGAACATGAAGTACACAGTGTTCTGTACTTTAACAGTTCCTCAGAAAGTTTGAGGTATAAACAGGAATATGAGTCCCAGTTTTTAAAAATACCAAGAGCATTACAGCATTCAATGTGGACAAAATACTAAAATCTTCCAACCCAGTGTCACAAGCCTGAATGCTTGGTAACAAGGCCTTATTTTTAGGGGTCAATTACAATGCCTAACCCTACACATCCTGTCTCTTGATTGGCCGAATATTTCACATGGTACTTGATGTTTTCCCCACGTTAATGAGCACAGCAAAAGAATGACCTACCATGGCAGCCTTGTCCTAAAAGTACTTAGACTTTAGTAAAAAGCGTTCCCTGTGCATATCAATGATTGCACAATCAGGAATTATGCACATTTTTCTGACGCACAACAGAGCCAGGTGGACACATTTTCATCGAAAAAAAGTTAGGAAAAGTACAAGTGACTCTTCAATTAATTTTGAATTGAAAAATTGAAAATTGAAGTTTTTCCTTATCCGTTACTTGCATTACTTCTTGTAATTGTATTTGTCCTAAGGTTAGGAACAGCTAAGCTTCATCCCATACCTAACGTTGTTGAATGAAGCATTTTAATTTATAATAAGTACATTCCATTTCTGTTTAATAAAATACATAATTATCAATCTAAATCTGTACTGAGCGAGAGGTTCTTTGATACAAATATTTACAACTTTCAGTACAGTTCAACTAGTACCACTTGATGCAGTCACACAACGTATAACCTTGAAAAGACAGCTGCCTGCCTAGAGGAGGACAACTCAGATTTCAAACCTGGGTAGGTAGCACTTGTTAGCCTAGGTTGGCTGTCTAGTTAGAAAGATAATCCTGATCTTAGTGCATCCCCCAGTCATGAGTCAAATGGCACAATGAGCAGTACTGGTCACCTGCCTAGCAGCTCGCTGAAGTCTGGTATGGCCTAGTCTGAGTATGTCGGGCTTCCCAGCAGCACCTTATTGGAAACGTGTTTTAGGGTGGTTCTTCAGGCACTTAGAAGACTCTGGCCACCCCCTGCATTCCCCCCCCCCAGCCACCGGTCGTCCTGACTCTGTCATTCCATTGGTATCAGCTGGCGGTGGTCAAGTTGGTGAGGCTGAGGACTGCACACCCTCTCCCTCACCTTAATCTCTTCTTTGCACAGGCTCCCCCCCCCCGACATCGTCATCGTTTCCGATGGACATCCATAACTAACTAACTAACTAACTAACTAACCTTGAAAGGCTCAAGTTAGTACAGCATTCAAAGGAGTCGACATTCAAGAACCACATCAATCAACCCTAAGATCTAATGACTTCCCAACATCCAGCACGTACCCTCAAAACCAAGGCATTGGTGTCCTTCTTGGAGGAGTCTGCCACCAGCACGATCTCAGGATTATCCAGCAAGGCCTTGATGGTGATGACTCCTACTGGTGGGGCCTCCGTGGCCTCTGGGGTCCCTGTGGGGGTGTTGGTGGGAGTCTGCGTCACCGCCTTGATGGGTTTCTTCTTCTCCTCCTTCTTGACCACCTGGCTTTCCTCCAAGCCCTTGGTGAAGATCTCGGCCACAGTCATCAGGAATTCCGCACAGACACAGGCATGGAAATTCCTCACAGATGCATCAACTGTACCAGCAACAAATAATACACAATCATGTGCATAAAAACCAGTGGATGAAAAATATTGAGTCACTCAATCACAAAACACCTAAAACATGTTGGAGTTAGGTTCTAGAGGTCCAACTGGTCTCCCTTGAACCCCTTCGCTATGGAAGACTGCCAGTGCCGCAATATTGTGTGAGGATTAATGTATACCACACATACAGTCTATTCACCATGCAGCTGTTGGTTCAATGGGGCCTGCTGCTGGACAGAGCTTTGCATACTGGGCATACCACAGCCCACCAGTCGCGGTCAAAATAATCCCGCTGTGAAGGGGTTAATATCTTCAAAAAAGAATACACTGGAGTACATCTAATCAAATGTGTCAAAATGGAATTGCTGGAATGGCAGAAAACCACCACTCAAAATCACAAATAAAGTTGATAATTATCTCTCATTTTACTTGGCAGATAAAAAGATACCAAATTCCACAACGTGGCTCTTGTGACGAGGCACACAGAGTCATCTTCATGAAATTTACATAGTCCTCCTTGTTACACAAAAATCATCTACCCCCTGGAAAAACGGCATAATTAAGCCACCTGCTACATTGCCAGTTGTGTGGAAAAAAACTGCCTGAATGATCTTCTCTTGGGTGCACGGCAGATTTCACTCACTGTTTTTGTCCTGGTTGGCTTTCTGTTCAAACTTGACAGAGATGGTTTCCATGTCGTCTGCATCATCACCATGGGAACCAAGCATCCTGTGAGAGAAACCAAGCCAATTCTTTTCATCAAAGCATTTTTTCTCCAATCAACCTCTGCTTCAGACCGTCGGATCCATAAAAAAACTGAATCAAATGTATCACTCAGAATAAAGAAAATACTAACAAAGAAAGACCAACAAACGTGTTAGGTTGGTCCTTAAGGACTCAATGCATAAATGTTTTCAAACTCTAAACTAATTCGTACAATTTAGAATATTGCATAAAGACCTTTTTCACCCACGTGACTAAATGTCAACAATACCACCAAGTGTGGACCGCTCTGACCACAGTGATTGCATAATTCCTACGGGCAGCTTCAACCACCTGCAAGCGCACGTGCGAACGCTGCATGCTTGACTGGTTTATCTTGAACACCATGCACTCGTTACCATCACAACGCATCATAGGTCCAGCACGGTTATGACATCACAGGAAAAAGGTCTAGAGCTGTTAACACTAACACCCCAGGGTGTGTGAAAAAATGATAATGAAAATGGTACACTTAGGTCAGTTAAAATTAAAAAGGGCTTGCTGACTTCTGATGGGTACAGCTTTACCAACTGTTCTAACCAACATTATTCACAAACTAGTTCCTTTCAGCACATGACACCCTTTATCTTTGTATTGAAAGCTTTAAAGACAGTGATTTCCGAAGATTTTGGGTTCAACTACTCTCTTCACGCAAAACTTCTGCAGAATTTCTTTGATCAATTACTTCATGGATAGTATACATGTATCAAGGTACTCACAATGCACCTGTTGCAATTTTTTTTTCAACTGAAAAACAAACCAGGTGGTTAATTTCATCCACAGCATATACATCGCCTATGAATATTCAAGTGCACTGCCTAGCAACATAGCGATGCTTCCCCTGGTTTGGGTAACATACACTAAAGTGGCAGATGAATACAAATATTTGTGCATCATTCAGATCTGTGAACTACCATGAAATGAATACATTTCTCTCAGCCCTTTCTTGCTGTCCTCTGCAGTCACACATCATAAATGTTCTGATGTGCGCTGGACCCCTCATTACCAGTTAATATGTATACGATACGTATGTAAAAGGCATTGGTTTTTGATAGCATTTGTTCTACCTACCTTGTGATACCGTCCCCTCTGCCGGGCCGGATGTCATCTAGAAGTATCTTGGCCAGTTTAGCACTAGCTGTGATGGCTTGGTTGGACTGTATGCTGGCCTTGACACCGAGGTGACAGATGGCAAAGCAGCCCAAGGCTTCGTGGGCAACTCGCTCCTGACGACCTTCAGTTGGACGCTGAGTACAGAGCAAACCAAACAAAAAGTTCTTAATTTATAATTGGCAAAAGGTCTTTGTTAATATACTTATGAAACGAATAACTGGGTCGAAATTAAATAAGAGAAACAACCTGATGAATTTTTAGAAGCTAAGTGGCCAAACAGAACAAACAAAACTGAGAAAAATGCCAGTTGGTAGCCGACTGAGACTCCAGTGTTGTCTCTGCATTGATCAAACACAAATGCACCCTTTCTCTGTGTTACAAAGTGATCAGCCTTGCTAGTGACCACATGTGTCTTCAGTTTAACTCACCAGGTCTAGTTTCCCAGTGTACAGGGAGGCATAGATCCCTTCCAGTTCAAAATCAACACAGATCTGTTCCCAAGGCTCCTCGGTAGTCTCTGATGGTGCGGTAGCCGACTGAGGCTCCTTTGCTGTCTCTGCATTGATCAAATACACACAAGGCTTCAAAATTTAGCATGGTTTATCATAATCAGAGGATGAGCCAAAATCTCAGTGGTCCATGCACTATCTCGTGCCACTTGCTACTTTTACTGTTTACCGGACATGCACTTAAGGATCCAAGCACCAGTCAGATACATAAGCCCACCCAAAGAACAGTTTACTACGTATGCACGTTAAGAAGCTACAGTGGAACTGTGCAAACGGGAGTGCCCAAGCTACACATTAAAAGATTGCAGTACACCTACATATTGATCGAGGTTTGCTATGAAGTGCCCGAAATGCTAAATGGTAAATCAAACATTGTTTACTTCAGGTGGCTAGTCAACGAAAGCTCCCATGGATATTGCAAACTGACAAACTAGTTCCAAAGGCATCTGGATTTGCAGAAATCGATTGCCAATCAAGACACACATAATTTCACTTAACTTTTCCAATACAAGAATTTCATTGATCTTTTTAAATGTGCAACTTCCAAAACCTGTAAATACCTGTAAAGGGAAAAAGCTATATCAACAAGGTACACAAATCATTATTACCATACCTCATACATATTCATGATCAAGAGATGAACTCTCACTGGTCCATTCATCTTCAGGTGCAAGTCAAATACGTGTTAGTACTGAACTGTTACACAGGTGAAGTACACACACACAAGCACGGCCGGAGCTATGCTATATGCAACAAGGACATACAGCCTTGTTCTTGCTCCTAAAGCCTTTAATGACAGTTGCTGATGTCTGAGGTATGTTTACGTAAATATGCAAAGTAGCAAAGTCTGCTCCAGCCCATTTGGCTTATCCTGCTGGTGTTTATTGCTGGTTTCCTTGACATGAAACGACTGAGAATATGTCTATTCCCCCTGGATGGGATACCAGGCAATCACAGGTTGCTTCCCCTGCTAATGCTGGTACTCATTCACTCCTGAGTGAAGAGAGGCAAGCAGGAGTGAAGTGGCTTGCCAAGAGCCACAACATACTCCCATCAGCTGGATTCGAACCCCCGACCCTGTGATCGGAAGCTACGAACCCTAACCACTAGGCCACATGCCCCCTTGAAATAAAAATAACATGTTTTCTTTCGGGTGGATGATCCATTCTAGCTCCCTAACATATTGGAAATTGACAACCTAGTTTTTTAAGGCAAAGGGAAAATCCACTATCCACCCTGAAACCATGACATATTTGTGTACTTGTAACCCTGCACATGATGAGTTTTGAATGCGGAATGTTCCCTATGAGGCAGTAAGAGAATACCACGTGTACAGCTGTACTACCATCAGTACTCCTGCTTCAGCCAAGCAAGCATTCAACCTCCACTCACCCGCCTTTGCCTCAGCGGTCACACCTTCTCCTGCTGCTGTGGATTTCCCACCGGATGCGGCTGGGGATTCCTCGCTAGGTGTGTCTGGCTGCCCTTCGGCTATGTTCTCATTCAGTATGCCCATCATCAGGGCAAAGTCGTCGGGGCCAATACAAACCTATAGTTGGAGGCAAATAGCACAAACTAACCAGAATATATCAGAAAGCATGTATATAAAAATATTTACTCTTTTGCCACTGTACATTATGACTGCCTCCGGTGAGTTAGAATATTACACATTGAGTCCCCTATACTTATATCACTGTCATGATCTAAAAAATAACTGTGTAACCTACTTTGACGATCAAACTATCCCACTTCTTGACTTTCAATGGCAATAACTTGATAAAGGCCCATAAAGCATATCTACTCAAGTTGATTGAGAAAAATGCACGTTGGAATGTAGCACCTGCTACAATTTTCCTGTAAAATATATTCATTTTGCTTGGACGAAAACCGACTGACACATTCTCTTCAAGAGTGAATGGCATTTTCCTGCGAAGCTATTAGAGAGTAAAGAAAACATTTTCAAGGTGGTTCTACAAAGTGCAAGAGTTTCTGAAAACCTCCAAAGAATCAGGATACTGCAGCATAGTTATCTTTCAAAATACAAATAAGTCTACGCCCCCCCCAAAAACATGTCACTGTCAAAGTGAGTGCTTCTGTGTCAAAGATATTGTACTTTAAAATTTCCAATATCAACCCTCAGGACTTTCAATCTATCTACAACAATCTATTTCAACCAGAGTTTTTTTTCCGTTTTAAGCTGCCATTTGGCAAACCTTGATGGTTCGTAGTTTTCCAAACAGAGCCACCGCTGGGGCATGGTGGTACCAGCTGGCTGCTAGGTTACGAGTCAGGTCCACATTCAAGCCCATGGGTTCTAGCATCAGCACCTCTGACTTGATACGTCCTCCCTCCAGGATGGCCCTGAGAAAGAGGGAACAGGGATCCATTTGTAAAGGCTGCTCCACCATGCATTCAACATTCTGTGAACTCTGATCAGTAATTTGTGCTAATGCCAAAATTAACATAAATGAAGTTAAATTTAAATCAAGCTATTTCATTTAACAATTTTGAAATGGATTTGACTTTGAGACTTTGGAGAACATTTCACAGTGCTCAGGTCATACAGGCAAAGAATCAAACATGTTGCAGACAATACAACTTGTCTACTTAAAAAAATGAAAGTATTGAAGGAAATTTTAACAAGCGATGCATATTTCCAATCTCAACTGTGATGTGACATTGAACTGGGAAATCCAATGGGTTTTAAAGCCCTAAAAGAATTGGCTACAATGGGCGTTTATAACTTTAACTGTGGAACTCACTAAACGACACATATTTACATGATACTGAGGTTACAATAATCACATCACAATCATAATATGTATCATAAACCGAATGTGTAACGATTATGGCAGCTGTTTATTAAAATTAATTATTCATAGGCTGATGAATTGTTATCCCATCAGTAACTTACCTCGAGAGTTGGATTGACTGCAAAGCCACTTCCATTTTATCCAGTACGGCCGGTAGCTCCCTGCCTTCTGTGCCGGCGGCAATGCTGAAGGAGTTCTGCACCAGCAGTTGGCCTAGGTCTGCCACCAGGGCCTTGTCGGAGGTGTAGCCCTTGGGGATGATGATGAGCGGAGCCTTGATGACGATGTCCAGGGCGATGCGTACGCAGCGCTCCTGCAGATTCTCAGCAGTCTTCTTGGCAGCAGCTGCGGCATTGGCACTGGCTTCGGCTGCCGCTGCTTTTGCGCGAGAGAACTGGTCAACGAATGACTGGGGAAAAATGTAATCACAGCAACTTCTATTTGAGTTGGTCTTCCCCACATAAAGTGACCTTCACAGAAAAGAGTAAGTGTCAAGATAGGTCAATTGGGCGCATTTCAAAAGTTGGAACAGCATGGAATGCTTCAATGAGAACATCTACTGTTCCCATAATAAACTATGTGGTTCCCCGAATGGGAACAGTGGTCAATGTATTTGCCTTTAAATCACTCAAGAACAAATAAATGCCTTTTGTGGAGGGAACTTTATTGAAGCATTTATCTTGCAGAATGTGTTTCTTAATTTTTGAGAACAAATGGGAGAATCCTATGCTCAGCACTGTGCGCGGCAGCAAGGTTTCATCTAGGATTTCAAACCCTGTCTAGCCTCTTACAAGCCTACCATGAATATTCATCTCATACACAGAAACTGCACAAACATGATATACATGCATAGGTCATCAGCTAAAGGGATGTGAAGTACAAACCAGCTGCCCATATTCTTAGAGTTCATACCACAATCAAGAAGCAAGGAAACCACAATTTGGTACAAATCCTCAAAACAACAACAAAATGAAGGTCAGGTCAGCAAAATAACTACTGCCGAACACTAGGCAAGGTGACTCCTGCTCTACCTAGTGTGTTCACTGGGGCTGTTCATTTGGTGTCCATAAATGGATGCGATAAGATTTTTAAAAACTCAAGCAAAAAAAGTTCATCAAGAGTATTCTTTTGACTTTTTTTGGCTGAATCCAATTCACTTTCACCAAACACATCCCATGAACATACATGACAACCTGACCTCTTACGACAAAACCTGCCTCTATGGGATGTCATGTCTCACAATTCTGCCGAAACCTAGAGTAAGGCATGGGAATATGCAAAAAACACCATGAGTCCAGTTACGTCGGTGGCCGTTATCCTCTTAAAGAACTCACTGAGGGATCCACAGGCAGAATGCTCTCAATGTGACACCATGGTTACACTACTCACCAACAGTCTCATGACAAACTTGTTCAGGAAGATGGCCCTCATTCTGCCCATGCTCAGCCCAACACGGATGTCGACGGCACTCATGTCAGAGTAACTGTCCGCTGCTGTAGCTCCATTGAACAGCTCGGCCTTGACCTTGAATACCTCATCATCCACGATGGAGACAATCTGAGAAAGCAAACACACAGTCAAGTTTCTAAACCCAGACATGAAATCTGGAAGCCAGAAAAAGGAATTCCAGGCTGTATTTCTCAAATTGGACCCACATGCATGAAATGTGAAAATGAGAAAAACCAGCTTATCCAGTTAAAAGCTGAATGTATTTAATGTGCAAGGGCACCATAATTATAATTTTACCATCATCAATCACCTGAGAATTGAAGTATCTACTAGTCTAAATGATGTGAAAATAAATACAAAATTGCCAAACAGCAGGTTCTACAAGAACAGCTTTTTCAGAAAGACTGCTTTGAATTTAACTGTGAAATGGACTTTAAACTCACACTGTATGCACCCCAATATCTAAATTTACAGTGTCAGTATTTTGATTGAAAATTGAAACAGATTTTAATGTGGTATTCAGTGGATCTACACTGACCACTTTATAAATCTTGGTGGCATGTCTTTCAGACGCAAGTTAAAAGTGTGTACTGGTTGTTGCTAGACCAATCTTTGCAGTTAATGACTGACCTTAGGATGCAGAGCTCCTGGTGTAGGGTCAGTGACAGTGATGTCATGCAGGGAAGCAGTGACTGTCGTCACGTGTTTCTGGAGGAGCACACCAGCTTCCAATCCTGGGGGAGGGGACATCAATGCAACATTAGATTAAGGAACGTGCCTCATTGTGTTCATACTAACTGATAAGTGACTACGCCAAGCTGAATTCCTTTCAAATGAGAACACCAGCAGTGGCACAACCATTTTCAAAGTGGGGGTCTAGTTGTTAGCATCAGCCATTAACAGCCCCCTCCATGAAGCCCCAACCCAATATAGAACCTGCCAAAAGTGGGAGAACCAAGTTTCCCCCCGCCCCACGTCAAAAAGTGGGGGGGCCACTGGCTTCCCTGGCCCCCTGCTTCCACCACCGATGGCTAACTCCACGGATTGTATGTATTCAGCTGAAATTTAGTTGCATCATTAATTACATGCAGACCAGTGCAAGCCCATGATTGGCTCACGAGCGAGCCATGAACACAACATGTTAATGATGCCGAAAACTGAATGCCCCATACAGTCTAAAAACTCCAGCAACATAACCTATACAGGTTCCTGCGTGTTACCTTTGATGTAAACCTCAGTGAGGCATGTGTCCTTTGTGCACAGCACAAGAGAGATGATATCCAGGTTAGCTGTCACTTTGACATCAATCGTTTCACTAGGCTTCACTTTCTTGACCCTCCTGCCTGAAAAGCAAAAAAAAAACCCGATGTGTTAACCTGTGTGAAAAACCTAAAGTTTGATGTGAGCATTTATGAAATATACAGTACTGCGAATATCGATTTCGGAAATCCCATGTCAGTACAGCTTAATCTACCTCTTATTAATTATACTGTTTTCTAACGCACAAACAGAACCTTGCTATTATCTTCTGTCTAACCATTGCCAATGGAATTCCTCTTTATCATCCAATCCTATTTCTGAAAGATAAACCTTGTGGTCCACAGTAAGTGTTGCATCTGCTTCATTCCATGAGGTTGGGGCACTATTTTTAATGGTGTCCTTGTTACATCCCAAACTTTTACCACCTGTAGAACAGGTCATTTACTCTGTATAAGTAACACACACCTCTGTATTCAGCCTTGCAAGATGTATAACAAAGTCAATTTGGAATCTACAGGCAGGGAAATAGCTGTCCATTTTTACAGAACCCATGTAACAATGGACATCGTCACAAATTGTGCCCCAACCTCATGGAATGACCCATCTATAAAATGAACCCGGCAATGTGCACATGCTTAAGGCTTGCACCTTTCTCACTTGCAAGCATTACCACACTGCTGCACGTGACGCATTCTTTTTCAATGTCACAGGTCAGTTCTTAACCTTTTATCCAGCCAGAAGAGGCACTGTATTAATGTTGGCCTATGCATTTCTACCATAGAAACCCTATACAGACGACTGGTGGATAAGATTAAAATTTAATACACCTGCAGTGGTTATGTATTGCCTTGTAATTTGAGTTTTGTTGATTTCTTTTAGAAATGTTTGTTTCAATTGAAAATGAAAAGTTAGAATCCTGATGAAACAGGAGAAGTTTCAACACTGTTATGGTCCATTTGTTGTTTCACCTTTGCTCTCTGACCCCTTACCTTTAGGCTTCTTCTCATCCTCACTCAGGTACCCTTCATCCTCTGTATCGCTGGCCTCTCCAGGCTCCTCCTTCTTGCCCGTGTCCAGACTCGCCACAAGGGTGTCGGCAAAGTCAGTCATGTTCAGGATGGCATCTGAGTGGGCAACAACCTCCAGGGTGGTGAACTTCACCGTGATGTTCTGCTCTGTCGACTGGTAGGTGGTGGAGAACTCAGGGTTGCTCTTCTCGGCCTTTATGGGAAGATGAAAAGTAGTATTTTGTCATATAACAATAGGGTCTGCTCTTTCTGTGTCAAAGTTGTATTTGTGTCTCCCAGAGGCTGGTTAAAGTATGGCTGGCCATCAATACAGAAGAAAAAGAAAAATTTGCCAAGTAATAGTAAATCTCACATAGCGATTGAAACACTTCCACTAGATACTATACTGGGGTATAGACATGCACTAGTGACCCCTTGCTAGTCCATTTATGTATACTGTATGAATAATATTTGATTTATTGCTTCCAGGAGCAACTATGACCTTCAGCCCTGCTGCTCCTCAAAACTTGTTCCAAGTGCAAATGTTGCATTGATTTGGCAGTGTTCCAATAGTTACATGAGTGTGGAAAGCAAAAGAAAGCCACTGTCGGTAACTGGGAGAGAGACAAAGGAACAAATGGCTTCCCATGTTGTCTGTACCTTCTGATAATTGATGGACAGCAGTCTGTCGGTGCCTTTCTCATAAGCTGGTGTCCGGACGAGATACAGGTCCCCACCATCCAATGCTGTTGATTAATTGAACATTTAAATATCATTTTGGTCGTCAAAACAACAACTGTAGAGAATGTTAACATGTCTCTGTAAATATCGACAAGCATTACATTTCAGTCACATCCATGAAGACTAATTACACTTCACCAAAGACCATGTGACCATTTGTTCTGCAACTTGTGTATTGTACTAAAGTTATGTGTGCTTTCACTAGACATGAGCAAGCGCTAAAACTCAAACGTGTGGACGTTACAATTTAGATCTCCTTGAGCACTTCTTGTTCCTTGCTGACAAATGTCAGTTACTACTTTACGGCTCACCTTGGAATTGCATGTGCTGTACTGACACACTGCCTAGTGACACGCTGGCATTCATATCCCATGGCCTCATCTGCACTTGGGTCCCCAAGGAATGGATGGCAATTGAGATCAGGGGTTTATCTTCTCCGGAAGAGCGCTGAGACAGATTCAGCCCAACCTTCAGTCACAAGCACAAACACGGAGGGAGAATTGAAATTTAACCAGTCACTTTCTTGGTTTCTGTTCATTGCTGTACAATTTGCCGTTAACTCTTTTTCATTCTTATTTTATTGCTTACAGATAACCCCAAAACCTGAGTTGCACAAGCAAATACTTGTTAAAGAAAACAGAAATGTAAATCAGGGGCGTCAGGTTGGTGTAATGCTTCTTCCTCACCTTTCACTTCTGCGGTCCAGGTTTGATTTCCGGCTTGGTTCACATGTGGATTGGGCTTTCAATCCCTACCCGGATTTCGTGGGTTTTTATCTAGAACATTATTCTGGGGTTTTCCTTCCACCACTGAAACTTTAACAGTTTCACATTGCCTCTTCTCTACAGGTTTCTTCAAGCTTATGAGCTACAGTACCTACATGTAGGGTGCTTTTGAGGAATCCTTGGTTTCGTTATCAGAAAGACTCAGACTTTACCTTTCTAAAGAAATGTCTTCTATATGGTCAATTAATTGATAATATTTATAGCAACAGATCAGTTTGCCCATTTTCTTCAGTTGTTTTAAATTCAATGATCTATTGCGGTTTTTCAATGTTCCACATAAGTAAAAGGAAAAGATCAGGATATTACTGGTACTAACTGCTGCAGAAAAAACTGAACTTACTCGTGACAACTTGTCATGATTAGAATACATGTACATGTTTCACTTATTTGATTCACACCAATAAATATGCTGGCAGTACCTTATGTCACTGTCTCAGGTATGTCTGATGTGACATGAATTTATCAAGACATTGTAATTGTATTTGAACAACCACACAGCTGTTGCAGAAATGTTCAGATTGCGTGCAAACGCATGCAACTTTGACTTTGACAAAACAAAGAAATTCCGAGCTTTACAAGACTGTGGGCATTTTTTTCAATTTTCAATGCCATGAATGTGAAGTAAACAACGAGGAAATCAACTGATCTGGGAAAAGTTGTATGCCTGGTGTAACCAACTGCGATCAGCACAGCCTGGTAGTTGCAACCAAAGATCGTATAGCATCGCGAAGCAGCGCATGATGGCAAACTTCACCGTGAATGCACGTAAAACGTTGCAATCGCACGGGCGCCATTTGAGCAAGCAATACGCCCGCGCAATGCACAGGCGCAGGCGCCGCAGCAGGCACGTGCAATGTGGTGAGCCTTGGCCTAAGCATTACCGTAAACTGCGCGGGCGTATCGCTTGCTCAAATGGTGCCCATGGTAATTACACCTTTTGGGCAGAGTTATCCATCTTGCGCCTTCAGTGCTATACGATCTTTGGTTGCAACCAGCATTAGAATATAAAGAATGCAGTCACTCCGAGGGACCCCACATGCCCAATGTATAAATGCGTCCAAAATGGCACAAAGCAATGTCCAACCTCACAGAAAGACCCATCAAGAAAACTCACCTTCTTGAGTTCAAATTGGAGCTCCAAGTTGGTCCTCTGCATGTCCGCCATACTTTCATTTTTCTCAAGCGTTGGCTTGGCTGTTCCTCCTTCACCCACGGTCGCCTTGACTGGTCGGTCCGATGGAACAATGGGATCTCTCTTTAACGTAGAATGAACATCAAGAAAAATAAGCACAGCAACATTTGGAATTGAAGTTGGATAACGCAACCTCTCCAATTCAACAGTCAATACCAGTGCCGTAGTCAGGACAATCACAAAACCATTCTGAAGACAAGACACAAAACCGTGCAGAGGACCAGTCACAAGTAACATGGTGAACAGTGACAAAGGAATGTTTCTGTTACAGTTTATTTGAAAAGCTTGTGACTTGAATTCAGATTGAAGGCCTTGTGTTTGTGTTGGTCTTGTGATGGTCTTAGGAGGTCTTGATTACAACAATGGTCAATACAAGTTTCAATTCCTGTTGGATCATTTTTTTTCAACCATACCACAAAATCTACTTGATTTAAGGTTTATGTGCATTTTCAAGAGCCTCCTCAGATGAAAGACAACATCTGCATTTTCTTTTCGGAGAGGGTGGTTCTGGCAGCAAATTCTCTTCTTCGTGTCCTTCTAAGTTGAACAATATACAGTAAACTGCTGCTAAGTCGACATTGTACACTTCGGCAAATCACTGAAGTCGGTAGTCTTACAGAAGTCCCAGTAGACTCTAATGCAACTCCATTAGAATTTGTATTTCTAAGTTGGCTTTCAGTTTGTCATTGGGTTAAGTTGGTGTGTTATTCTCAGTCCTGTTTCCACAATACGCAATAAAATCCTTTGCGTAAGTCCACATTCAAAAAAATTAATGCATTGGCATCGACTTCTGCGCTGCAGTTGGCAAGAAGTGTCAAGTCAAATCAATGTCCGTTTATAGGCACGGTGCCGCCTTAAGAGAGTGCCAACTTACGTGTAGCTGAAGTTTACTGTATATGTACTTTGTATGCATGCGTGCTGCCCTTGGGCACAACTTTGTGCCATAAACACTTTCTAACATGACATCTCACAAAATATGAAATACTCATTGCAAAGCAAAACATCCCCCCCCCAAAAAAATGGGCAAGGGACTGTGTCACAGGAAACATGTAAAAATAAATGATGGTAACAGCCATTGGTGCTCAGCCATTTTACTGATGATCATGTTGTGGCTGTCTGTAATGACCACATATCATGCAATGACCGTGGACCCAAACCACACTACATGGACTTCTCTCCACTGAGCCTACAGATGTGAGATCAAGTCCCTATTATGCCTGTTTCACTTTAAGTGAGCTAAATCCATTGCGACAAGTATACCAGCCTCATACACACATGTAAACAAATTACAGCTGTCCCCCATGTTTTATCCTTATTTCTGAGTTGGAATGGCGGAATTTTATGAACAAGTCGTCTTGCTGTGTGTGTAGCACAAGAGAGAGTGAGTCTGACGAGTTACCCTCGTACAATGGAAGTGTAGACCAATGCTACGGAATTGTTTTGAAGCGCGGGTAGGAAGTGGCATCCTTTACAATAGGGAATAGTCTGTTTGCTGCAATAGATTTATACAGTACATGTACACTAGTACAGTACAAGGAAAATGGACATGATCTCACATCAAGCAAACCCACTCATAGAACTTTTCCTGTGTTCAAAGCGAAGTTTTATCCAGGGTTTGCTCAATACCAACCGTGCAAAACCTCTTCCAAGGACAACCGGATGCACAAAGGACGATAATCTCAAACATTCAATCCAGAGTAAAGAGGTCTGTGATCAGTGGTTGCTACCTAAAGTTTGTATCATCTGGTTAAATTACAAACTTTTTCTTCCTTTTCCAAAGTAAACTAAAAAATGAAAAGGGCAGCTGAAGGTATACTGTTAATAAGTAGATTCAAACTTGGTTAATAGAAATAATAACTGAAAAAAAGAAAATTATATATGTTGGTTTCCCAGGCAAGAGTCAACAAGTGCTATTAATGGTTAATACTAAAAAAACAGCGTGTAAACTACACACAGCCTCTCTCTGACCTAGCGCTAGTTTCTAACAAATGTTTGGTTTGGTTTGGTTTTGGGTTGGGTTGGGTTGGGTTGGGATGGGTTTGGTTTGGTTTGGTATGGTATGGTATAGTATGGTATGGTATGGTTTGGTTTTGGGTTTGGTTTGGTATGGTTTGGCTTGGTTTGGTATGGTATGGTATGGTATGGTTTGGTTTGGTTTGGTACGGTATGGTATTGTATGGTATGGTATGGTATGGTATGGTATGGTATGGTATGGTATGGTACGGTTTGGTTTTGGGTTTGGTATGGTATGGTATGGTTTTGGGTTTGGTTTGGTTTGTTTGTTTGTTTGCTTCTTTGTTTGGTTTTGGTTTGTTTTTCCTAAGGAACAAGGCACTGGGCAGGATTTGGGCAGGATTCAAAATCAAAGTACTGCTGTGCACAAGAGAAATACTTGAAAATCACTGAATGTCAAGAGTTGAGAAGCAGCTGCAGGGATCAATGAACATGAGGCATTTGAGCTTGTAAGATATTTTGGATGAGGCAGAGTTTTCTATGCTAAAAATAAAACGAGTCTACGTAATAGATGCTTGCAGACGAGTTCGTACAGAGCACAAGGCAGAGTAGGACAGGGGATACTTAGACTACATGTATGATAAAAATTGTCTTCAGGTTAAATTTAAAAGTCTAAACCATTTGAGGACTATTATATATTACAAACTTTGAATTAAAAAACAAATTTCAGAAATGGCCTAAAGATGCAAAATGTGTGAATTTCAACTGTTCAAAGGGTTTCATGAAGTCTAATGATATTTAATTTGATGTTTCAAAATTGTCTGCATGCAGGAAGATTTTTGTTAGTTGTTATTTGTTTTGGGATTTTATTTGCTTGATATCCTTACCTTTGCAAACTGCCAATATTCCAAAAAGAACAGAAAACTCAATGGATTTTAACATTTTAATCTTTTACAGTCAAAATGCAAAAAAAAATAAGTATGAACATATCGGGGAAATGCTGACCGAAGTAAGACAGGGTGACAAGAAAGTTTTGCAAATAACAGGAGATAAAAGCACATCTACAAGTAAGGTCAGACATATTCTGCCACAGGGCTACACTACAGATTTGACGTCTGTTTGTATGTGAAGACAAGCACAGCTTTCCGAGCTTGTGAAATTGTACGGCTTACTATTATAATGCAACTTGAGGCTGCTTTCTTTGTTATCTGATCACGCAGTTTTACATTGCAGCTACTGTAACAAGCAGACTGAACCTCCTATTTGTGGGTTGGAATATTTCGATGAGTGGAGCCTACATACGAGGGGGTACAGACGCTGACTTGGCTGTTCTTAGAGACTGCATCATTTAAGAGCGACTGGTGTTAATCTGTGCATAGACTACACTAGAGTTTTGTAACAGCAGACTCCTGTCAAGTGTTCCGGTGATTAACATCACACTGTTATTAGGCTGTTAAATCAAACAAATGTGATTAGTACAGCATTAATTGAAAGAGAGAATGCCAGCCAAACCTTTTACAAACAAATGGGGTTCAGACAGACAGCAACAACACACAACCGCCACAAGCCACGATGCCTGCTCATGAAGACGGTGGTTGTGACTACAAACAAAGCATCTAAATGCGGTGAGTGCTGCCGTGCCAAAATGCTGATGAAGGCAAACTGTAGGAGTAAAAGTAACAAGCCGAAGAAAAAAAAACTTGGACAAAAACCACAGCAAGTCCAACAGAACGGTCCACTCGGGGTGAGCGCTGACTCTTGCCTGGTCAAGAAACCTTTCGCTGGCCGAGTAATATTCCTCGGAGTCGGAGCTATCGCTTTGATCATCCGGACTTACAACGACAGGGCCGTCCGGCGAGTCAGACGCCACAGCAAGGACAGGGGACAGTCTAGGAGAGACGGGTAGCTGGTCCTGCACAGATTGGTGATGGGGGAGGGGGGCAAGGTGTCAAGGTAATACACAGACATACATAGGAGTACATACAGGTACAGTACAACACTACTATAATGAATACTACTATACTCAGTATTGAGTAAACAAGTGAATACATCATATGCACAGTTATGTGTGTAAAAGGTACCTGTAGTAGCGAGAGGACACGAGCGCGTCCTTTATTTGTTTGCACTGCACTGTCTGGTTTACAGTGATGTCACACTTTGGTAAGTACTCTATAATGAGCATTCCCCACAGCTCCTAAATTTTCTGCACAGCGTACACTTAAATTGAACCTTGAAATTTGATTTTACTAAAAGAAATATGTATGGGACCAATGGTAATGACTTGAAAGCCAAGGAAAACTTAAATGTTATTCGTAAAGGAATATGTACAAGAAGAACATGTGGTCCACATCATTTGTGGCTTCAATATACATGTACATACATGTACAGGTGCAGAGGCAGCCATGTACGGCAGACTACCTGATGAGTATGTGTCACCTCGGGTGACTCTCATGTGGAAAATCTTGCTTTGCTTGATTACTACATAGGTTAGGATTTGTACCTTGAACTGAATTCATGATGTATGCAGAAAGACAAATCGGCTTTTATTTGCAAAAATTTCCTACGTTAATACTGAGTTCAGACATGTACAGAACCATCATGGCCCCAGTGCTTCAGAAAGGTTCCCCGCATATTTGTTCTAATTTAGCAGCAGAAACATCACCACATTGATACCATGGGACTGCACCACGGGTCACATCCAAAACAATGAAAAGGCTTTGACGAAAACAGGGCAATTAAGCAACATCATGACGAGTATGAGCAACCTCGTGATCGCACACGAGCAACAAGGGCTGTGATCACCATGTGATATGAAGCACTAGCTACAACAAATTTGTCAATATCCAACAGCATCTCAGCTAACACAGATTAACCCTAACTCCCTACGCATCTCTGCTCGGATGCAACCTGAATCCTACAAAATCCTTCTACTGGCTCCATGTAAAAGCTGGATACAAATTCAATCCTTCCAACTTCTGCATTATTTTGTAAATGTGTTCCTTGAAGGCGTGTGGTCATTGCCTCAATCGTTCAAAATCCTTTGGCAATTCCTGTCATTGCATTAACGCAGTGTAAATGGTCTCCTGGAGAAGCATGGAGGATTTTACACACATATGCTTGTATAATCTAAGCCTGAATTTATGCATGGCAGAATATTAAATACTATAACAGAAGGTCTAGCCCAAGTCCTTGACACACTGCATCCTTTGTAATCAGCAAAACGTTACTGCCATATAGCCTCAATCTTCCAAAATCCTCCAAAACCACTTGGAGGATTTTGGAGGTTTGGGGTTTGCTAGGGGTTAATCAATTCTACACCCCACATTAAGAAATAATAACAATGATCTGTTAAAGTAGCAAGGCGATCAGCAACACCATAAGAAACATGTTTAATGCACAGGTTTTTCCCATGTAAAAAAAAAATTGAACAAAATGTTCAAGAAATAGTGGTACAATACACATTCTTAGAGAAATTATAAAATTACTTTAAAAAGGGCTCAAAATCTTCATGTTAATTTTTTTGTCTACAGTTCATCACGGCAAATCTGTAAAAACACCTAAAACTTAAAAACGCATAAGCAGTACACATTTCAAGCTAGTATCCCGCAGAGTTTTAGAAATCACCTCAAGATCAGGATGATAAACTTACCCGAGCAAACTTTGGCTCTGGCTCTTTTTGGCTTGACTCTGGAAGTGGTATGCTCAAGCCGAGCTTCAGCAATTCTTGGAGTTTGAAGTCAGACACATCCACTGTGACATCGGGCAGTTCTCCCGTTATCTTGATCCTGGTTTAAAATTCAAATTTAAACAAGTTACTTGATGATAAGTGGAAGTTCAAAAATTTCTAAAAGCAACATTAAGGGATATGTAACCAGAAACAGTCATTTAAACACAAGACGACTTTCTAAAGTTGGAACTGATATAATGAGCACTGTCGGGTTGACTGGGACAGGGAGACAAATGGCCGGTTCACACTTGGCATGAAAGCAAACACAAATGAACAATTATGACTTAAGATCAAATAGTCACATTGCAAATTCGCAAAAGTTGAACACATTTCAACCTGGGCCAAATTTCACTGCAATTTTTTCATGATGTCTAATTCACTTCATGTTCCCATTCCCATGTATGAACCAGCCTTAATTTTGTTTTGTTATAAATACAATGAGAATATGTTAATTCCTACTGTAACATATGCAAAAGAACTCACTGTTGCATTTCATTAGCAGAAAATTAGAGACAGCAAAGAAAGTGGAACAGATGAGTCAAGACAACACAAGATGGAATACCAACACCACAAGACAAGGACAGACATACGAGTTACTCTATAAATTTAGGGCCCAATTTTTTTGCATGTTACATGTTATATGATTTGGTAAGTTCAGAATATTTTCTTTAATTTCTTAAAGTGGTTTGGTGATACAAAATTACCTGCCAAACAAATGGAAATGTTTGAAGTTAATTAGAGTGGCATTTTCACATCACACTGCACAGGTCAGGTGTAACAAAAAAAGTTCACGCTCTAGACTCTAAATTTATAGAGTGACACATATATAATGCCATGAGACCGTGCAAATTGCTTGATAAGTTTTCAGTAAAGTCTAGTGAAATGTTTACTTTATCTCATACCCTAATTTAGCAGCAATTCAGTACAGGACCACAATACAGTGTATAAAAATAACCAAGGAAAAGGGAAACTCAATTGGCAATCCCAGAGTAAGATAGCAAGACTCCAGGAACCTGAAAGACTGGATCAAAAACACCTGTTATACCACGTTCATAGATTGAGAATTTTTATTGGTCGCGAATTGATAACGTGATATGCTACAAGCATGCACGTATCTCCCAACCCCCCAAAAAATAGGTCAACAAAGGACATCACGATCAATAATTTTCTTGTAATTTAATATCAAATCTGCTGTTCAAGTTTCAATTTGTCAGTGTTTTAATTTATCTTACAATAAAATATGCATATGGTATAACAAATAATTGTTGCCTGCTGTGACAGGGTCCATAAATGGCACCCTTGACTTTGCCTTGAGTGGCATTTGCCCCCTCAGGTGTACAAAACGTCACTGACCCCCACACCACAGGCAACAATTGTTAAATATAAAATACGACGACAAGTCTAAAGAATTTCTTAACGGTAAAGTTTTAATGAGTCCCAATTCCAGCAAGACACAAAGGGGACGAGGGCTAAACATAAAGGGCAGAAAAACCATGATAGGTGAGTACAACATACTTGGCAAGCCTGGAGTCTTCCACCATACATTTATTGAGTCCCACATTCAAGTCCAACGGCTGTAGAAGGTGTAGTGGAGATCCCTTCAGTTCTCTAGCGGCCTGCCAATCATCACCTACCACAAACACAAGTTACAAGTGAACTCTAAATTCAACCAACGATTCACAGGCAATTCAGTGGCAGAGTAGTGATTACGTTTCTCAACTACTTGTGGATATTTTTATTTCACAATCAACCAGTCAGACCGAGGCACAATATTACACTAAGCTGAAATCTTGATTTATTCAAATGACAAGATACCACGACCACAAATACTGGCTCTTGAAACTAATTTGTACAAAAGTTGTGTGGCAATCATGACTATCGTTTCTACACTTTGGGGCAATATTGTTGCTACTACAACTAACCATGGCTCGAAGCCAAGTCAGGGTACCACACTCAATCATGACAGCATTCAAACATGTCACTCGCAACTGCGTATACAAGTTACCAGGGTGTGTAAGGAGGTCAAACTGCCACAGAAAATTGTTGAGGATTTACACTTCATCAGACACAATATGGTTAATGGACATGACAATCAAATTTCTTTTCACAAGGAGTGGAAAATGTAACTTAGATTGATCAATCCTGTCCCCGGGGCACCAAGGCCTGTGCTTAAGTATTTTATTTGTACAAAAAAGAGGGCCAAATCCCGCAAATCAGGTTGTAAAAAAGTGACCAAATTCTGACATGGGGGGCGAGGTTTGGAGAAACAACAAATGCGACTTAGAATACATTGCCCTGACAAGTGTTTGTATTGAAAAGGCCAATTTACAACTTCACAGTTGATGTCTCACATGTATCAGCCTACAGTAAATTGTCTGTCCTTCACTGACCATGTGCTGTGCTATACAGACCAAAGCCACTTGAAAGCCGATCGTGTCATTAAAGTTTTCCTTTCTCCAAATAATCCACATTCAATCACACATGAAAAAATCCTAAAACTACTGTGTCCATTTTCTACAAATCCCCCCCCCAAATTAAGAATTGCCAAGTCCTCTTCAAGAGAAACACCCTCCATGCCAAAAAGTCAATTCCGTTGTGATCTCTAGTGGGCTCACTGCACTGTGGTGGGCTTTTACTATGACCAGACATGTCTTGTCACCTACCTTCAGCAGCCAGGATCACCTGCACACTCTGTAGCTCGATCTGGAACCTGTCATAGGCTTTCTTCATCAACTCCTCTAGAGACTCATTCTGACAAAGACAGAGAGTAATATAACCCAGCTGATGCAGTCTCCAAGTCCATTATTCTATCTATCGTTGGATTGACAATATCCTTCCCTATGAAGTGTGAACCCGGAAACATTCCCAAAGTATTTTTTCAAACCAGATTTGTTTTGCAAATGTTAAATAGCTGCCTTTTAGATGTTACTATACCTCATACATATTCATGACGGATCGCAAGCCTCTCATTGGCGCATTCACAGTCATGCACCAGCCACTGTTTTTGCTGTTTGCCAAGCGCACACGCGATCATTCACGCATGGAGTAAATATGCATGCATTTTAACTGTCGCCCGGCTTACCGGGGCGACATTTTAACTGTCGCCCGGCTTACCGGGGCGACAGTTAAAAACGCATACGCAGTAGCATAAAATCCAGGAACTATCTGCCAGGTGTACTGTGCATTTGTGGTGGCGCCAGCCTAGCAACGGTATGCAGCTCATATGAAAAGATGGCGGCACACGTAAAAGACAATCAGAGCAAGTGTTTGTGTTTTGACCTTACGAACAACACAAAAGTTTGTGGAAACAAATTAATGATGACGTTTTTATTTTCAGAGGTTATTAAATAAAATGTGTAGTAAGTATAGTAAAACAAATATAACATTATTTATTTCGGTTGGAGAGTCAATGTTAGTTCCTGAGGTATTGGGAGTTGACAAACTAGTACGCCTCGGGAACTAGCTGTCAACTCCCAATACCTTGGGGACTTAACATTGACTGTCTAACCTCAAACCATGATATATTTGTATACTTATGAACAACTTCAATGACACACAAGTTAGGCCACACTAAATGTGAGTACAGACAAAGAGTCCAACTATCCAGCTTACTTTTGGATACTTTTTTCTGAAGGAATCACAGCACCTCATAAATATTCATACCTCCATCCTCGGCCCTTTTGGCCTCTCCTCATTCACTGTAGCCATCTTGAAATTACCAAGGTCTACAATCAAAACACTGCCACGCCTAGATAAAGAGAGAAATAAAGTAAACTGTTTGACAGTTGAAGCATAAAACAGCTAATTTGGCGAATACAATGAATAATTTCAGATCTTTACAAGACACGTAGATCCATTATCTAACCCTAGAACCACCCTCAATCCTACAAAATCCTTTAGGCGCTTTTTGGAGGATTGAGGAACAATGCCAAAAAAGTGTGGCTGATTGCGAAGGATGCACTGTGTCAAGGTCTTGGATTAGACTTTGTATTGTTTATACTCAGCCATATATAAATTCATGTAATGATTATACATGAAATCATCCATCCTGCTTCAGGACACACTGCCTCAACATAATAACCGGAATTGCCACAGGATTTTGAAGGATTGAGGCAGTGGTCATTCCTCCAATGGAAATACATAGAAACTGTCAACTTCTCTTAAGTAATATCTGGATTCATTCAGAAATCAACACACTGGGCTGAGTGGGCTCTTTCGTAATACACCAAATAAATGAAAGAAGTCCTTCGGGGTTCTCAATATCTAGGATCCAATCACTCTGATGAACGTAGAAGTTGAAGAGCCTACCCATCATTGATTCCATTCTCTGGAATGATGACGTAGGATGCCTTGATGTCAATGTTGACATCTAGAATGTTCTTGTTGTCCACTATGTACTGCAGGCCAGTGGAGGATTGCACGGTGAAATCTCCAAGGGAAGACACAGCTGCTGCTGATAGACTGCCATACAGACATACAAGCAAGACAAGGCATGAAAATTTGCCCAAAGCTGCCTGGGTTGCCCCCACGCAGGAAACTGTACACTATCTACAGAAACGGACAACTATCAGCCAAATTATTTTTCTGGATGTATTAGGTGAATCATTTTTGAGGCATTTGTAACTCATTTCAGTTTCCCTAACTTTTCCACAGGTGATTCAATGCAAAAGTTACTTTTCCCCAACTCAAATTCATAAAGAGGAATTGTGTGTTTTGAATAAATTTCTAGAGTCCTGACTCTGGAAGCTTGCATCTTTTTATATGCAATGCTATTGGCCTCACTGTTATGTAAACAAACTCAAAAGTTGAACTTAAACCACAACTGTTAAATGTAATGAAACAAAACAAAATGTGCACCAGACTTGACTTTTGAGAAAACATGTACTGACAGAAAAATGACTCAAAGATGACTAAACTGTATGGCCATCAATGTTGTCAAGTACTTCTCCATTAACAAGTTCAATGCCAAACTATTGAATACGGGCGATTCATAATAGTGCGCCTCCAAGAGTTTGCAATGCGTTGGCCAATCACATCACGCAAAATTTGTCGACCCTTTCCAAATGCGCATTGGGTCGACAAATTTCATACACTGTGATTGGCCAAAGCATTGCAAACTCTTGGAGGCGCACTACTGTGAAACGCCCGTATTGGCCAGGAAGGAACCAAGCTCAAGAACAGTGAAATTTGATGGTAAATGCACAAAGGTAAGATTACAAAATAAATGTAAGACTACAGACTCTCCCTGTTTGTAAATATTAAGTTTTAACGAGAAAAGTACTCGAAAAAGTACTCAACCCAGTGCTTTTTAAATACATCTGTCATTATTTTAAGTACTTTTAGGAAATTTATTGCAACTGAATGATCTCTAACTCCATTACAAATACAACTAAAAGTTTCCTGCAAGTTTTCAAGAAAATTGAAAGCCTAGTTATCCCAAAATCTGTAACAGAATTAGCATTCCCATCTGTGGAATGCCAGATTGAAATGTATTCCTGCAAAACAGTCTACTTGGTTTGCAAACTGTGAAGCATTCACAGATTTAGTATCACTTATACTCACTCATCTAGATGGACATCCTTTGGAGGCTCAAAGAACTTTACTATCTGGTTGATAGTGTTCTAGAAAAGCAGACAGAGAAAGACATCAAGCAAAATGCCACTTGGGTATCTGGTACATGGCCAGGTATCTGGCTTTTTCAACCAAACAAATCTATCAGTGACTATCTTATGCATCTGGCTTCGACGTAAATCTATCCACAGTGTGGGACTTTTGAAACATTCAGTAGCGACAACCATACCGATCCCATGTGAACAGTCCACCATTGTCTCCATCATTTTGAGCATAAGCACAATCTCAATTGTGACGTAAACAAAAGTGAACCTGGTCAAGTGGGAAGACATGTTTGCAGCTCCCATTCACACCACACATTCTTTGTGTAACTCATTCAAACCTCGGAGCTTCTAAAACGTATTATCTTGTTTAGTCTGAAACCAAGTACAAATCTTCTTGGAGACTCACCGCATCATAAGCAATCTTGAGGGGCCTGGCGTTAAGTCTGATCCTCTGGTCTGCCTTGCCATCCATTGGGTTGGTCTCCACCGACAAGCTGAGTAGGGAGTACTTCTTGTCTGCCTCCAGGCTTTGGGATTCCACCATCTGAGGGCTGGTCCCTTCCTCCACAGGTGTGCCAAAGACGCTGAAGTCATCAAGCTTGGCCTCCAGCCTGTACAAGAAGAACATGCAATCAGATCTCACTCAGACAAGTCATATTAACCCTCCTATCGCTTAGCAGCACAAATATGCATGAATGCCCACAGTCACTCTATTGCATGTGTTTTCTATATGAAACACAAATATCCACAGGTTCAAAGTGTGTACAGTTGGTTGCCAGCACAAAATGACCCAGGGTCTTTTGTGCAGTCCTCTTCACTGCATTTGGTTTACAGCACAATGATGCACATGAAACGGTGAAGCACAGTTGTTGGGCAGCACAAACGTGCAATCTGATATTCCTGTGAGGGAGAGTTGGTGCAGTGCACAATATGACACAGCTGTGCATCTTTGTGCTATTTACCAACTGACCCAAAGCGTCACTTCAACATAGGAAGGTAATAACAAGGCTTTAAAAATACACTCTAAAATACAACTTGGATTAGGCACTTGTGCCCTTGAACAATACTTTCTGCAGCCAATTTACCAAGAGAAATATGGTTAGTGAGAGAGTTGACTAGAAGCTTAACCCCAATAAATAAGGTACATGATCCATCAATGACATAAATTTGATCATTGGTTTTCAGCTTGGGACTATATTCTTTACTTGATGGCTTCAGCAGCTGGCCTCTGGCTGAAATTGGCCATCAGCTCGGTGACAGACAGGTTCAGGAGTTGTTGCTTCTTGCGTTCCTCATCCAGGATCTTGACACTGGTGCTCTTGAGATTCAAATGAGCTTGGACGCCCACGTACTGTGTAACAACAGAAAAACCCAGAATGATATAAAGTTACAGTACGTTGCATTTGAAAGTTAACGCTATGAAAAGGAATGGGAAAAAAAGCGAAAGGAATTTACATTTGCATTCACATTTCGCATTTTGACCACAACTTTTCCCCCCTGCGAATCACAGCGAATCGGATGCAAAAGGGTCGAACGACATGCGAAAACGGTGCGAATCTTTTGTGAACACGGCATGAAACACTTGCGAAAACATTGAGAAAAAAAAGTGTGCAAAAACAGTGTGAAAATTTTACGAAAGCGGTGCGAAAGGTTCCGAAAATCATGCCGAAAACGAGAAGCATTGTGCAGTAAAAATGCTCAACACTTGCCACACGTGCACGACTATTATGCAGTGAAGAGTCCATTACGCAGGCTGCGCTGTGCTTGGAGCCGGCCGGTCGGGCCAACTCACCACATGGAGTGTGCTGTTGTAGTCTCGGCCGAGCCGTCCGGTCCATGCAGCGCGATCGTGGGGATGTGCTCACTAGGGCGACCCGCGCTTGCGGGGCGCAGTTGTTTTCTTGAATTACCATAGATAAACACTCGTCAATGTCGAAGAATAAATGTTTAAAAAGTTGTCTGGATGTTGAGTGATTATTATAAACGGGAGTCCCGAAGTTATGAAGTCACGAAGCACATAAAATGTATTATAATAAACTTAACTTGCTCTGCTGTGGCGACTTGGGTTATTTGCCCACTTTTTATTTATTTTCGTGGTGTCGTTTGGCACACAAAAAATCAACAATGAAATACTACATGCAGTATTTTGTTTCCGGAAGGTTTCTTACAATCGACAAATAAAATAAGTGCTTAAATTGTACATGTATTTTCATAAGCAAATCTCATCTTTTCGCCGATTGTGTTCGGTGTGACATATCGGGCCAGTTTTCACTTGGGTTTCTGATGACATGTTACTTTCTGTGGTCACACGGTTATTGGAAAAGGTCAGCGATTGGACTATCCATGAATGGGCATGCAGTAGCAGTCAGGATGTCACGGTAGGTGTAGATGCAGTGTGTGCTTCACTATGCGGTGCAGCATGCACGAGGTCCCGTGGCGATTTTTTAAGAGATTTGGTAATTTTTTTTGATCGGTGTCACGAAAACGTTGAGATAACCGGATACAAGGCATTTATTCCAAAATCAAGGTACATACATTTGCCAATACATGT